TATATATAGTATATATAATATATATAATATATACAGTATAAAACGTATTCATACCCAAATACATTACGATATATAATATGCTATTTAACAATTTTCAAGTCCATGCTGTATAGGCTCATCGCCTTCTGATCTGCCACAATCGACCTACGACTTTTCAGGGTTTATGTTAGCTTAAAAATGACTACAGTAGCGTATGTGGGAGTTTTGAAATGAAGGGGCTGATGGGGTCGCAAAGATGAAGGGAGGGGACCGTCGATGATTAAGTGAAGGCTTCGATGATTAAGTGAGGGGCAGGGGTGGCACCAGAATGTGTCACCGACGGGGGAGTCAGAGGTTCCCGACGGGGGAGAGGGGCGATGCTCCAACGAGAGCAAAATGGGCGTGGTCCAGGGAGCGAAAAAAGGCTTATGGTCCAGGGAGCGAAAAAAAGGCTTATTTAGTCTAATTATATGTACAAATACACTATCATTTTTTTTTCTCCTCGACGAATTGTGGTTTTCCTTCCCGAGTGGGGGGGGGGGGGTGTGTCAGCCCTCCTAGACGAGGGATCCTGCCGATAACTATAACTTTGCCGGGATCACATCCTATACACGTATAGACTACAATACTAGGCCTAGTACATTGTAGGCTAGAGGCCTAAGAAACCCTTTAGCTAGATACTTTCATTTTTGGTTATTAAAATAGTAGACTATAATAACAATAAAACTATACATACATATACCACAGAACTGACACGCCAATCAAAATTAGCCATGTCGAAGGTATTGGTATATCTGCTAGCCCTAGTTCCATTGTTCTAACGGAGGTACCTTTGGATTTGAGCTTGTTAGAGCTGGTGGTAGAGATAAATCAACACAGCATCGATCTATCGATGACCCCGGTTTGTTTTTCACCGTGAATCGCTCGACCTTTGAGAAGTGTGTGTGTTACTATGTGCAGGCCACCATTTGATTAAAAATGTTTATGTATGCGAAATAAATGAACTGCAATAAAAAATGCGTAAATTTTTCTTACTCAGTTCAAAACTACGCAAGTTATATTTTTAGGCAATTTAAAAACTGTGCAAATCCAGCAAATCCCACACCTGCCTTAAATCCGGAAATTGTGTTCTACAGTATTATAATCCCGATTGTAATAGGACAATACACTGCACTACTGTGGTATTATCGTACAACCTATGACTCACAATAGTGACTAGGTAATTGTCAAGCAGGCCCGTATCCAGATGGGGTTTTATGGTTCGGGAGAACCCCCCTTTTCTAGTGAAACCCCCTTTAAATTTCCAAAATTTCTCCAAAGTCCTCCACCCCAACTAATGCACTGCAGACCCACCCAGACAGAGACGTTTTCAAACATATCTGCTTTTATAGCATTTATTAGACCCATAAAGCACAACACAAACATCCTCTTGCTTTGGGGGTTTTGCCGACCCCACCGGGGCTTCGACACCCCCACCCTTGGAAGGACCTGTAGCACCCCCCCCCCCCCCCCTTGGAAGGACCTGGCTACGGGCCTGTCAAGTCGTTACGATTGCTGCATACCCTTACCGTACTCTTATTATGTACACAGATCTGTACATCAAAAAACATAAGATCTGTTGTACAAATTTCAAATTATGTTTTATCTGTGAATAGAAAGTATAGGCTATAAGTATACATAAAAGTAGAATTATACGCATGTTCTTACAGAAACTTTACGTTTATTTGAAAGCGTGGCTTGCTTCGTGTGTAGGCTTACAGTGCTATTTAAACCAAGGAATTTAATTTATACCGAGAGCTTATGAAAACTGTTAGCAGCGTAGGACCTACTGGAGATGCCTATAATATTGGAAGTCGGTAACGGTGTTATTATGTAATGAATCCGATAAGGTGAAAGTACCAGTTTCACCTATGATGATGCAGGTAGAGACACCTAGCGGCTGTTTTAAATCCTCGATATGCACTGTATAGTTTGACACCTTGATTTGTTCTTATGTGTAGTTAGTTTGCAATACGTTTTGAAATTAGTTCAAAATCCAAACACTAAGCAAAATTTTAGGAATATGGACATTAATACAAAGTAGGGCTACTTATTCATGCGGCATTTATGTACATTCTGTATGCAACCTGTAGGAGCGGTAACACTTCTACCCTACAATACTATAATAATTAAAATTCAAAATATCTTACAATCAAAACAGACAGAGATTGAATTATACGTTACAAAATTAATTTGAACTACACAGCTAAACGCGGCGAAGGAATATGCCCGATGGTTTTGTTGTCCTGATTTTAGAAATAAATGCGCTGAATTTTCAGGCTGATAAAGAAAAGCTTTTAGTTGTAAAACACCCCTACTGTTAAAGTACGCTGGCAAAATGGAATGTTTTGATTGGCTGAGAGCCTACATGCCTGGGTGATCCCACAGCTGAATTACGTTTGACTGTGGACTTACACTTAAACTAGTGGTCTACATGACATACAGTACCTACAGTACATACAGCATCACTAGTCTCCATCAATCCGTTTTTGGTGTTTTACATTTCTCAACTTCAGAGTACTAATGCGTGGGTCGGGGCGTGGGTAAACATCTCAAACAAAGTAAACTGTTTAAGTCAGTATGTGATCAACTCAATAACCCAATAGTACAGAGAGTACTTAGAAATATATTTGCAGAGACGCTGCTGTTAGTTTAATTTTTGATTTTTATTGTTCACAATTAAAATCATCACCTGCATTACAGTGTCTACATCTTTGCAATCTTGATTTTAACATTATCATGCATGAAAGAATAAAAATTGTTCCATGGATCATTGTGTCAGATTATACAAATGTACTGATTGTTCGTTACAGCTTTCTCCTGAATTATTTACTGGGTCATACTCAACACACTCCAACAACGTCCTGACTTCATAGGCTGTTACAAGTTTTCTACTGTATGCTGTATGCTGTATGTTATACAATCTGCATGTAGTATTCTTTTGTAGACTAAAATACATCTTAGATAGACTAAAACAACGATATGATAATAATCAATATTGAAATGAAGGTAACTTTTAAAGCCGATCACTCACTGCGCGACGTTCGTCGCCCAACGCGATTCTATGGAGATTGCAACGCCACGACGCACGCACAGTACAACCAGAGCCGTAGATATCTACAGCTCTGCGCACAACGGTTGTTTTAATGACGATCAGTTTAGAGTGCGACAGACAATCAGCAGACGGCATGTCATCGATTAGCACTCACAGGAAGAGTGCCCGGATTTAACCACATCTGGTAGTCAGCACGTGATTACCAATATTTAAGTAGCTTGTATTCAATGAAAATTGTATTCAATCTCATCATATTATCAAATTCAGTGGCGGATCCAGGAGTTTGAATTAGAGGGGGCCCACATGAAGGGACCACTTAATCCCTACCATGGTTGGGGCTGAGGTAAGAAAATTTTCGATTATGGCACCTCTTGGTGGCCAGAAATGCACTCTCAGACTAACAATTTTAATGTAATTTTTTTTTCCAATGTTTTTATATTTTTCTGAAAAATGGGTCCTCTTGAATCCGCCTCTAAAATTAAATAATTTAGTTCGTTCTTTCAAATTTGTTTGGATTCCCCATTATTACACTGTCCGTCTACACATCGATGCGTGGCGCTTTATTCAGTCAGAGGATCAGTTTCTGGCAACTACCCTCAAATATAGATCGTTTGCAGGAGTAAGAAATCCGTTTTTACGAGGAGTTGGTGGAATCTGAAAAAAAAAAAAAAAATGTTTTGAATCAGTTATATGTTCACTACCAGCTTTTAATATAAGCCTGTACACAAACAAAAATATTTTCAACATCTAAATACACAGTTAAATAATATCATCTTCTAAATAAGCAAATTCATAGTTTAAACTTCGCATGGTCGTATCAAGGTAAATTGACATACACAAACATACACAGAGTGAGCACAACACAGGTTTATGTCAATTGATTTTAGACCAAATTACGAATTGGCTTATTGTACCTCTGTCTCTGCACAAACTTCGAACTTGACTTTCTGCAGAATTCTCACAATCGCCATTTTGATTTCAATCAAAGCAAATCGCATACCAATGCAATTACGAGGCCCGTTACCAAACGTAGCAAACGCAAAAGGGTGACGTTGCTGTTTCTTTTCTTTGCTGAACCTGTATTAATTATAATCAATTCAATAATATCAAATATTAATTATGTTGATGTATTGATTGATATTGATTTTGATTGATCGATGACTTGTCTTAACTAGTCTTGACTAGTTGATTGACTGACTGATTTATTGCTTGGTTGATTTGTTCTGCTAAGTTTGTTTTATTGATTGAATTATTCGATATTGAGTAATGAATATCGATTAGGTAGTATTGATTAATCGATATTGAATAATTGATATTAAATAATTGATAATAATATACTAATATATACTGATTCATTGATATTGATTGTTGATTGCCTACCATGTTCCACAGAAAAATATATTACATGTGCACAAATATACACACAATTTGATAGTTGTTTTTTAAATAGTGTAATAGTACATTTTACACACCTTTCCGGCTTGAAGGAATCGGGTTCTGGGTAAAGTTCTGGATCGTGGTGAATTGCATAAGCTGGGAATACGATAATCATTCCTTTTGGGATGTGAATTCCTTTTACTGTACAACTCTCAGTGCAAACACGATCATAGCTGTAAAATAGTTAATTGAAATTATGGTAGCAAAAGTGAATGGAAATAATGTGTGTTGTTTGTAAAAACAATTATAAAACAATATTATTAATATTATTATTATTATTATTATTATTATTATTATTATTATTATTATTATTATTATTATTATTATTATCATTATTATTATCATCATCATCATCAGTATTATTATCATATCATCATTAATGCATCATCATTGACACCATTACCATTATCATCGTCATTATCATCGTCATCACCACCATTGTCATCGTTATCATGACAATGATCAATAAATGAGAATATTATGGTAATTAATTGTTAAAATAAGAACACTAATATATACTTACATGGTTGCAGGTGAGTACATTCTTATTGATTCGGTAACCACCATCTCTAGGTATGGCATCTTAGCCACCACTTCATAGCCGATGTCGGATTTCCCTTCGGTGACGTCATCAATCTCTTGTATTAGTTTTTCCTGTTTATCACCATTTCTTGCCAGCAAATAAGCGATATAGCAAAGGGCAGTTGTTGTAGTTTCGTATCCGGCAAAGAAGAAAGTCAATGACTGCGGAGACAACATTTTTTTTATTATCATTAACTGTAAATATCTAAAATAATGTCCATGTTTATCATAATTTTAATGCTACGTTTAGGTCCTATATTTATTTTTCTATAGTACATCATTGTGTAATCTTTTTTTCTGCCTTTGTTTGAAATCCAAACATTAATCTGTATTGTTTGTTATACTTTCTTGTATGCAAAATGAATGTTTAATAAAGAATGGTTACAAAAAATCAACATGTTTATTAAACATAAATTAAATAAAACAAAGAAGTAATGTAGTTAATCTTTTTAGAACAATGTTTTTAAACCGATTGAATTGTTGTTAAATTTTGTTGATTTTTTTCTTTTATTTATATCAATCAGTTCAATATATCATTTGTAAATAAATCAATAAATCCGTGCAATCAATCGATCAATCGATTGGTTAGCTGGTCAATGTGTCTGTCGGTCGTCGATGTTGGCCGACCATTGAATAAAGCAAGCACGAGATACGCATGCGCCTACATTATCAATCTAACAGTATTTTTCTATGATCTCTACTTGGTATTAAATATTATATATGTTTAGTTCCTGACGGTATGCAAGTTTATTCTAATTAAAGAGACAGAAATACAATTGCTTACTTGCGCTAATATTTCAGTGTTGGTTAGTTGAGCCCTCTTTGACAGAGCTGAGTTATCCGAGTCGATCATTAACTGCATGAAATCAATTCTCTGTTCAAAAGAAAATAAGTGAGTGATAAGGCTGTGTTAGCACTACTTGAAATGTTGGGGAAGAGTAGAGAAAGCTGATGACGACAAAATTAGTCATTACAAAGAAGAACACAAGTGCATATACTTAAAAACAAAACATTGAGAGTAACGGAACATTATGAATGTATGTACTGTTACTTGAGAAAAATTTATTAAAAATTAAGAGATTGATGTTCCAAATGAGTACTGTGTTTTAAATGGCTGAAGCTAGTCATTAAAAATCAGAACTTAACGCCAGGGATGGAATTCAAACTGTTTACAATTTGGGCAGTGGTATTGCAGACAATTTACCTTGAATATAAAGTCCAAAACACTTGGAAAAAAGAGGATTGAATTTATCAGGAGCGAGGAATCCATGCCAAAAAATGAGTAAGAAGAAATAGTTTGAGAATAAAAAGGGAGAAATTCATAACAGAAAAAAGAACCAGATTGACAGTATAACAGAAAAAAAGCACATCAAAAATTAAATTGATTATCATTAACCCATACAAAAATATACATAACGTACTTTTGCACTTTCCTCTCTCCTGCGTAGATTAATCACCTGGTCGGTAATATTGGAAAAGTAGGTGATAGTTTCCTTTGGGGTTATTGGGATTTGAAACAAGTTTAAAATTCTAGCGGTCCATGGAAGAAGAACTATTATGCAAAAAGAAATGAATGTTTAGTACCATATATAAGCTATTAAACTAGTATTATAACAAGTGACACATTTATTTATTTGATTATGTATACTAAGGGAGAAAAAAGAAGAGAAAATATTTTCCGGTGAAACTTACTGGCAGATGCTATGCTGAAGCTGCTAAAACTGACGTCAAATGCTTTCTTACAATGATTCTGAAATGGATGGTCCTTATTTTTTTGACAGTTAACGTCTAATCCAAAACCGCAACTTGCCACAGAATCAATGACGTAAGCCCCAAACAATCTACATAATAATATAACTTAATTTTAATTGGCAACAACAATTAACTTGCAACTTAGACCTACGGGACACCATGTTACATTGTTATCTTTTTTATAGTACTCCCAACATATTAAAGCGTAATACGCTGAATCAACTACGACAGTTCTTTTCAGAACTACTTACGTGGTGTACCGCAATCTTCAACATATATTTTATCACTTCGCCATGCAAACCTTCAAACAATACGTAGAATCTACTTACAAAACAATATAACCCCCGGTTGAATGAATATCTGCGAAATACTGAATCATTATTCGAGGCTATAACTAGCAGCACAATAAAAGTAACTCTTCAGACAAAATACTGTAAAACTACTGTAATTTGCTGGCACAGTAGATCGAAATGAATAGCAGTCAGGATGGTAATATTACCAAATTTTCAAAATATCAAAGACCACATTTTGTTCGAAAGGTGTTTTTATAACTGTTGAAATCTTTAAAAATGGTTTATTAGTTTTAACTCACTCCATAACCTCAATGCTCTGTTTTGCAGCTTCCTTTTGTAGAATATTTTCCACTAGACTATCACAGCATGCATTCAATAGAGGAGACATCTAAAAAAAAACGAACAAAATAATATCAATATTTTTTAAAACATGAATACATTTTTGTGTGTGTTTATGAAATTTCATTAACCTGCTTATTTATAATCGAAGGCAGTTTATGGCGCTTATCATGATTATGGCAGTTTATCGTGAAAATGTACGTAAACTTACAAACATACGATGACATTTGCCCAATTTGCATTGGTGACAATTATACACATTTTAGAATAGGCGTGAATGCAGGCCTATATACAAATATCACGATTTATATGTATTACCTTTTTCAATTTACCAGCTGAGAAACTTGGTGATAGCACATTTCTTATTTCTTTCCAGTGTTCGTCAGTAAGATTATTGACACCTTGGTCGAGGATTCCGTTATCAAGTGGAAATTTCTATAAAAGAAAATGTCAAGTTGATAGGTTTGTCTGTTGTTTATTAAAGTATAATTAATAGAGATAAAGTATTAATTTTCAAAAAGCAGTTCAATAATAAATATATAGATTTCTATAGCTAATGGCTTACCCTTCGGTTGTGAAAGTTTGCAAATTTCTTCACCATTATCTCTTGCATCATATCACGATCTGTTACTAAAAGAATTGGTGTTCTACCTTCGTACAACCTAAAACAGCAGAAAAAAATAGAATATTAACAGTCCTGCATTCTTCTGCGTATTATTACAGTCATAATCATCTTCATCATTATTATTTATTAATATTTTATTATAAGAATTTTGTAGTACTGTTATCCTATCGATAAATATTTAGTTTTGTCATCTGTGGTCTTTAAATAGACCTAATTAAAACGTAAAAACGATTGAACTTTTTCATGTACCTGAAGACGAATAGTGCAATACTGCATATTTAAAAAAAGTTGATATAGGCCTAATATAATATAGGCATACAACTTAATGGCTAGGCCTACGTCCGGAATAATCAACAATTAAATGTCTATTCACTATCGCAATGTATGGGAAGGGTTGGGAACTTGTAATTATTGCGCTTTGTTGAAAGTATTTTGTTACAGAACTTACCCAACAATCTTTCCATACTTCTCTATCATCTGTTTGTGTATAATGTGTAATGGGGTTTTGCCCTGAACAAACATAGAGAGTAAAGAAAAGAATAAATGTGGAGGTCTGTAAGGCTATACATTTTGAGATTCACGTGTGGAAGACATAAAAAATAAAAGAGACTAAAAAGAAGAAAGAGCAGATGGGTAGAAACTCGTAGAACTGCAAGAAAAGAAGACCCATTCTTTCTTTTAAAGATTATCTTTAAATAAAACCGATATAGTCTCAAAGGATGGATTTTTGAAATCACTGATACTTTTGCTGGACATATCCTTGATTTGTCACATCTAAAAACGCACGCAGATGCAACAGGTGCAGAGAATTGAACTTCTGATTGGCTTGGGTAATTTTAATATGACATATTTTAACGAAACAGTGCCTACCTACCCCGATAAGATCAAGAATGTTTCCAAACAGTGGAATAGGTTTAGGACCGGGAACTCCCATCTTAGCAAACGTAGAGTGACCCCACGTGCAGTACCTGTGAAAATAGAGTGAACCTAAATAATAGAAAAGCATATACTATAGAAATCAGAATCATTCTCACTTTTTGTTTTTACAATTCAATCGAGAGTCAGCGCTATGAATCCGTTGGAAATACATTAACGCGGTATAGATTACAGATATATAGTAGGGTGGACAGGGGTGGCGCCAGCGGAGGCTTTAAAACCCCTAAATTCATATTTTTCCCCATGGAAAACTTTCTAGAGATTTTGAGCGACGCTTGAGCACGCCAATCTTTTTCGTCTTGGAAATCACCCCCCCACCTTGGGGACCTCTGACCGCCTATCTGGCAAATCCTGGACCCACCTAAAATTAATGGTTGACATAAAACACGATGATGAATATGATAATGGTATCATTATTAAGCGCATCATGCTAATGCCTACAGGGTATGTGCGCTTCACATTGCCCCATTCATCATCATTGCAAAGATTATGAACACACACCTAGCTCCCTGAGGAGCATTCCATAACATTGCAGCTAAATGCATTTGACATTCTAACCTGGGTACCCATTTTTATTCTGGGCAGCTCGCTGGGGAGTAGGCCTATTCAATAACGTTGCAGCAGCTAATTAGTGCATTAATTGGCATTGTAAACTCCTACCAAGTACCCATTTACATCTTGGGCAGCTCTTTAGGGAGTATTCCACAACGTTGCAAGCTAATCAGTGTATTGAGCATTCTAACCGGGTACCCATTTACATCTGGGTGTAGATAGAGTAAAGATGAAATATTAAGCCTATTAGATTCGAACCCTTGATCTTACTATTTGAACCACAAAGCCAGCCATTGTGCCTGTGTTTGATTAATATAATATGATAGTTTACCAAACTGGCTAAAATATATGCATGGACTTAATCGGGTGGAACTCATAGACAATAATACTTACAGATATATGATGAGAACCAGCAACATCATAATCAGCACCCATGTTGATGAAATTTGAAATTCATATCCTAAAACCTCCATTATTGTTGATCTACAGAGGCGTGTTCTGATGAACGATCTTAGACTGTGATTTACTTCTCAAGTGTGTTATTGAATGTAAACAGTGGTGAATGTACTGCAATTGTCTGCTGGTGAGTCTCGTGTTTGATATAGTTATGAAATTAATATAGAACAAACCACTTTTAGGATCACTGACGTACATTAATTGCTTAAAAAGTAAACAAGTTTATCATTTTTTATATATATATTGAAACTTAAGTAACAAGATTTACAGAATCAGAATACTGTGTGTTAAAAATTATCATTATTGTCATTAACTAACAACTATTGGTATTGTTAACAAAATAGAGCGTTTATTAAATTGCTGTTGTTATCGTCTGATTTTGTACAATATAAATCGCACCCCTATAATCAAAATTAGAATAAACCATACCTAGATTTCACAACGCTGATGAAATGTATGTAAACATAGCAGCTGCAAGGTACATTCAAAGTTCAAAGACCATTTATTTATAGCGATGCTATTTCCGTATTAAATACATGTTAACATTACGAACAGGAAGAGTTTCATTTGGGATGTTGGTAAGACCTGCGGTGTAATGACGTCATGTCGATTGTAGAGAAAGTTGCTCATGTTCACATTGAGTTCTCTCTCTCTACATTCTAGAAATTATACAAATGTCAATCACGCTGTCACACTAAAAAATTCAGAATTAGCCTCTTTGCATTTGTATCCTTCTCTTGTCAGTTGTCTCAAAAGCGGGTAGGCCTACCAGCATGTCTGTACGTACTTCAACTTCTATTGGATAAAACACGTCTGTTATTTTCAAGGTTTTGTTTTAACTCCAAATTCGTTATTTTGTGCCTAAAATAACATGTGCATATCATGCTTGGGGTGCCTATAGTAATCCAAATCTACAATTATATTTCTGGTATAATACTTTATCCTGTCGACATTAAATGAATGTACGGACCATTTGCGATCTTTTGGCACGTTCTTCATTTCTTGAAATGTTGCATTTGCTGATGATGTGTGACGTTCAGAGAAGTGGCAGTGGTCTGCGTTGGCAATCACTATTAGTAAGGGCTTAATATTCCATAACATACATTTTTTTTTTCATTTTCAAGATTACTCAAAATAAACTAAACTGCTTAGGTGGGTGGGGGAATATTGAAAAGATAGAATTACTAATTATGTTTATTGATTATTACCCCAGAGGTAGGATCAGAAAAAATGATTAAAAATGGATTACCCCTAGTAGGCATTATCAGATATTACCCCTAGTAGGCATTATCAGATAAAATTCGGTGCAATCTCCATACATTATCAGTGCTTTAATTTATTTTCAGGGATTCTTTTTATCTTGATTAGGTTCTTTTTCCCTTGTTTTCATCAAAATCTGCTAGATTAATGTTAGTCTAGAAATATTTTTCACTTTTTTTTTGTTTTGTTTGGTTTTGTTTTTATCTCCATCCCATGTTAAATTATATTGTTCTATTAAAGCCAGAATGTGTTTACGTTGACAGGCTTAATTGAAATGTCAGGTCAGTAAATACGAGTTTACTTCCTCTACACTTATCATTAACATAATCACACATCATCACCACCACCATCATAATCATCGTTATCATTATCGTCATTGTCATCAACAGTATATAATGTTCATCGGTTTGTGATAATTGTATTTTAATCCATAATAATAGGTTTACATCATCCATTATTTTTGTTACACTTTGACTGTAAGAATTCTAACTCTTAAGAACTAACACAACGTTTGAAAAACCAGGGAAAAACTTAGTTTGGCTAACATCGTTTATTATTAAATCAACAGAAACGATGTAATTCTGAATAGTATTTTCTACATAAAACAAAACATCATGACGCTTAAACTATAGGCTATCATGTATTAAGAATATAAGAACAATGTTTTGAACAGTTATAGAGGAGTAGTCGGCGGAGGTTCAGCATTTGAAAACTGGTGCTTATTTTCCGACGGCCGAATGAGGTCCAGTGCATTGTTGGCATGGATTTGATTTTTCGACAACATGATGTACGCAGTTGTCTGAATCGAAGATGTCAACGCAGTGATCTGGAAGACTGATGATACTTCCTCTAAAAAGAAACAGAAGAAAACAATTGTTTTATTTACATTTTTTACAATTAAAAACTCCCACTTGCTAATAATCATAATGAATTCTCTATACAAACAATGCAAAACATTTAATTTGAACATACGTTGAGCAGCAACCGGCTCCAAATTCATAGCACTCGCATTCATCACAATGGTCTTCATACCGTTCGGTCCATTCTCCACCGATTTCATAAAGTGTACCATTGGAATCTATGCATTGAGCTAAAAATAACAGAATGTTAATTGAGTTTATGTTATTCGCATATATACAGGATTAAAATCTTAAAATTTCTTTATTGCTTTTGAGCCATCATGGTACAATACATAGATAAACTTTACATCGACTTGTGGTATTATGTTTTATGTATACATACATTTTTGAACATTGAAGAAGACAATAATTATATATTTATGTATATAATTATATATATAATATATATATTAAAAGGCAAAATACTGAAAAACAACAATGCTGTGAAAAACAATGGCTGGATCATTCA